AAACCCATCTTTGGATATGGGGAATCAAGAACCCCATCTTAGGATATGGGGAATAACTTACGTGTGTGTCTGAGTGATGGGTGTGGTGTTCTGTCCTGTTCTGTGTCCTTCCGGCGCGGTCCGCCAATAACAAGAACCCCATCTTTGGATATGGGGAACAAGAACCCCATCTTTGGATATGGGGAACAAGCAAACCTGAGACACCCCACAAATGGCCGCGAACGAGCCGTGCAAAACACATTGCGGCTCCCCTTAGAGGTGCTGAAAATGAGCGTCTCGCTCGAGGCATCCTCCAAATCTGCTCCGAAAGCGAAGGATGTTGGGCCCAGAAACAAGCAAACCGCCTGAGACATCCCCACAAAATGGCCGCGAACGAGCCCGTGCAAACACCCCGGGCGGCTCCCCTTAGGGGTGCTGAACTGAGCGCCTCGCTCGAGACATCCTCCAAATCTGCTCCGAAAGCGAAGGATGTTGGGCCCAGAAACAAGCAAACCGCTGAGACATCCCACAAAATGGCCGCGAACGAGCCCGTGCAAACACCCCGGCGGCTCCCCTTAGGGGTGCTGAAATTGCGGCTCGTCGAGACATCCTCCAAATCTGCTCCCGAAAGCGGAGGATGGTCTTTTTCAGGCCAAGAAACAAGCAAACCGCTCCCTGAGAATCCCCCCCAAAAATGGCCCGCCGCGAACGAGACCGTGCAAACACCCTGGCGGCCTCCCCTTAGGGTGGTGAAACCAGCGCCCCGCCTCGAGACATCCTCACAATCTTGCTCTCCAAGCGAGTGGAGAAAGTCTGTTTATGTGTAAGATCGGGTATGCAGTAAGTCTGAGTATGAGTAATACTGTGTATGGTAAAGTCTGAGTATGAGTAATACTGTGTATGAGTAAGTCTGGGTATGAGTAAGTCTGTGTATGAGTACGTCTGGGTGTGAGTAAGTCTGTTTATGAGTAAGTCTGTGTATGAGCATGTCTGAGTGTGAGAAAGTCTGAGTATGAGTAGGTCTGAGTATGAGTAAGTCTGCGTATGAGTAAGTCTGAGTATGAGTAGGTCTGAGTATGAGGAAAGAGGAGGAGGGGAGGAGGAAAGAGGAGGAGGGAGAGGGAGTAGGAGGCGTCCAAGAATGACAAGAACCCCATCTTAGGATATGGGGAACAACAAGAACCCCATCTTAGGATATGGGGAACAAGAAAACAAAGAAAACGCCTGAGACATCACCACCAAAATGGCCGCGAACGAGCCCGTGCAAACACCCCTGGCGGCTCCCCGTAGGGGTGCTAAAACCAACGCCCCGCCTGAGACATCCTCACAATCTGCTATCCAAGCGAAGGATGTTGAGCCCAAAAACAAGCAAACCGCCTGAGACATCCCCACAAAATGTCCGCGAACGAGCCCGTGCAAACACCCCTGGCGGCCCCCCTTAGGGGTGCTGAAAACAGCGCCCCGCCTGAGACATCCTCACAATCTGCTCTCCAAGCGAACAAGCAAACCGCCTGAGACATAATCCACAAAATCTGGCCGCGAACGAGGCCCGTGCAAACACCATGGCGGCTCCCCTTTTTGAGGGCGTGCTGAAACAGCGCCCGCTGATTACATCCTCACAATCTGTTCTCCAAGCGAAGGATGTTGAGCCCAGAAACAAGCAAACCTCCTGAGACATCCCCACAAAAGGGCAGCGAACGAGCCCGTGCAACCACCCCTGGCGGCTCCCGTTAGGGGTGCTGAAACCAGCGCTCCGCCTGAGACATCCTCACAATCTGCTCTCCAAGCGAAGGATGTTGGGCCCAGAAACAAGCAAACCGCCGGAGACATCCCCACAAAATGGCCGCGAACGAGCCAGTGCAACCACCCTTGGCGGCTCCCCTTAGGGGTACTGAAACCAGCGCCCCCCGCTGATTTAACATCCTCACAACTGCTCCCAAGCTGAAGGATGTTGAGCCCGGAAACAAGCAAACCGCTGATGAGACATCCCCCCAAAATGGCCGCGAACGAGCCGTGCAAACGCCCCTGGTGGCTCCTTAGGGGGCGGCAACAGCGCCCCGCTGAGACATCCTCACAATCTGCTTCTCCAACGAGGATGTTGAGCCCAGAAACAAGCAAACCGCCTGAGCCTCTTTACAAAAGGCCGGAACGAGGCCGTGCAAACCACCCTGGCGGCTCCCCTCAGTGGTGCTGGGGATGCTGAAACCAGCGCCCCGCTTGAGACATCCTCCAAATCTGATGTGTGTTGAGTAAGTCTGAGTATGAGTAGGTCTGAATATGAGTATGCCTGAGTATGAGTAAGTCTGTGTATGAGTAAGTCTGTGTATGAGTAAGTCTGGGTATGACTAGGTCTGTGTATGAGAAAGTCTGTGTATGTGTACGTCTGGGTATGAGTAAGTCTGAGTATGAGTAATACTGTGTGGGTGAGTAAGTCTGGGTATGAGTGAGTCTGTGTATGAGTACGTCTGGGTGTGAGTAAGTCTGTGTATGAGTAAGTCTGTGTATGAGTATGTCTGAGTGTGAGAAAATCTGAGTATGAGTAGGTCTGAGGATGAGTAAGTTTGAGTATGAGTAAGTCTGAGTATGAGTAGGTCTGAGTATGAGCAAGTCTGAGTATGAGTAAGTCCGACAGGAGGGGAGGAGGAAAGAGGAGGAGGGAGAAGGAGAGGGAGTAGGAGGCGTCCAAGTAATAACAAGAACCCCATCTTAGGATATGGGGAATAACAAACGCACCCACTGTTATCGCATCAGCAGGTGCGCCAGTCCTCGAATCTTACCCAACAGTACGTGCCACGTGGCCTGCCGCGCTCCTGGAACCTGCTCCGGGCGCGGCAGACTCTGTCGCCAGCCCGGCGACCTACAAACCGAAATTGCCAACCCCACCTTCCAAGCGGGCGGGCGGGCGGGCAGTGAAGCGCAGCGAGCATTAACAGATCACACAGAGCGGGGGCCTCACCGAAGCTCCAAGACAATTGTGAATGGTACTCACTGAGCTAGGCGCTAGCCTCGCAGATATCTCTGGACCCAGCCGCCGACAAACATGGCGAGCACGCACTTGGCCCAGCCTCTCGACTTCGGCGGCTGCAACAGCGGAGGACCACTGTCCGACAGCACAGTCGACGCGATCGACTCCGCCAGATGCACGGCCTCTGCTTGCAGCTGCTCAGGTTCCTGATACACGAGCTCTGCTGCCTTGGCCGCTGTGTTCTCGATCATCTCATCTACCAAGGTTGCGGCACTCTCTACGACAGGCACAACGGCGGACAAGTTATCCCACATCACACAGGCATTCTCAAAAACTGTGACCACCATCTCTGCCATATCCTGAGTCTTGGTGGCCGCCGAGGATACCGCACTCGCTCCTCGTCGACTGAGACGATAGACACTCGCGAAGGACCACTCGGCCAGATGGCCCATCAGCCCGAGGACGCAACTCGCCACAGCATCCAGGACGATGTCTGGACGATACGCCAGCAGGCCACACAGCACCAAGAAAATCGGCACACACAAAGACTTGAAGTAGCGCCCGTCAAAGATGCTCCGGACGAAATCATCCAGCCACAGCAGGCGCAGGAGAGACCACCAGGTTCCTGCCGAGGCCGACCAGGCAAGCACGAGCGCCCAGCGCGAAGGCGGGCGGCTCTTGTTTGCTGACGTCGACCGAGCCGGAGTCTGGAGACTGACCGCGACCAGCGCATCCTTGGGGCCTCCGGCCTCGTCGCCGTCCTTCAGCGGCCCAGCGCAGACGACCTCAGGCAGGATCGCCCCGAGCTCCTCCAAGGCTTGCATGGCACGAGTGTAGGCACGAAGGACTTTCAAAAGATAAGATTGGCTCTGACGCGAGGCCACCTGTTTCGCATAGTCGTGTTTTTCGTCAAAGAAGGTACCGACCTGCTCCCCGAACGCTGTCTTGCCCGCCGTCACCTCTACTCGGCTGGCCGCCTCCAGCAGGCTAGACGCCGAAAGCCTGAGGCGGGCTGCCGAGGGCTTAGTGGCAGGGAGGGCCGACATCCAGGCAGCGGAACTCCGCCCGGACGCGGTCCAGCGCGTTGGCAACCTCAGGTTCGAAATCGAATAAGGCTGCGGCAGCATTGGCTTCTTGAATGTAGTGTGCAAGCGATCTCTCTGACGCCCATCTCCCATGGAACTTCACCCAAGCAATATTTCTAGTACGCATGAACAACTCAGTGGCCCCACCCGCTCGAAGTCCCGCTAGTGTGAACTGTGGAATACCTAGTTGCTTCACCAAGCTCACATGGATCTGACGGAGACCAGCATAGCCAGAAGGGAACACCAAGTCATCAGGTCCTACACGGTACATCCACCACTCAAGCCAGGCAACTGTCGAGGGTCTCGAGAGTAACACAGTCTGACGATTCCCCAAGAAGGCCTTGTTTTTCGGGTTCTCAATCACCCAAACAGCCTGATCCGCAGCACGGTTACGACTGAAACGGACACGACAACCCTTGAGCTTCGCACCCTCGCCAGGCCGCAGCAGCCCATCCATCGCGACACGAACAAAGATGCTGTACTCTAGCACGGTCAAGCAGGGCCTCCGTGTTAGCAGCAGCGCTCTCGCTAGCGCCCTCCGCCTGAGCGCCCGCTGGATCTCTCGAGGGATCGGTGTCCTGGTCCGAGTCCTCGCCGAAGGCCCAAGAACGAACTGAATCCCAAGCGCCTCCAAGCTGACCCCTGAGCTCTGGGCGGCGCTGCTGCGCCACCAGGATTGCGCACCTCGCCTCCGCAATCGATCGCTTCTCATTGAACAGATACTGAACAAACTCAATCAGGCGGTTCAAGATCTGGCTGCGCGTTGCCGTGGGAAGCCAGTGCCCCAGCTTCCCCCACCTCTGCACTTTGCCGACAGCCGACAGCATTCCGCCGCCTTCACCAGGCGCGCAGCGTGCGCGCCCCCGTGCAGCGACGTCTGAAGGTCCCTGCGGCGAGGGTGGCCGCCAGCAGGACCCTCCCCTGGGAAGCCCAGGGTGCTGTCAAAGATAGCTGACACCCCGCGGCCCCACCTGCATCGGCGAGCCGCGGAGCCTTCGCTCCGCCTTCCACAGTGCTACAACCAGCGCGTCAGCGAACTCGCCAGTGTAGGCTGCCGCCAGCGCCGCTCGTTTCTGCCAGCGTCCGTCCACCTTAACGCCGCCCTCCAGGCGCACGTGCCTGCACCGTCCTTGGCAGCGCCTGCCCAGCAGCTTGAGCTCCTCGAAGTTCCCCAGCAGGCAGGTGCTCTTCTTGTAGCGGGCCACGGCGTCGTCTGGCGGCCCAAGCCCAAACTGGCACATGTCGCACTCGACGAGGTAGACTCCCTCCCGCCCCAGCAGCCGCTGCAGGCTCGGCTGGCGGAAGAGCCAGGAGCGCCGGGGGTTCTCGACCACCCAGAGGCCTCCTTCCTCTCCCAGCGCCTGGCAGCCCGCCGCTGTCGTGACTGCGAGACTGTTACCGTCCCGCTCTGCCTGGCGGGAACCGCCACCCTGCGGCCGCGCGGCGCTCCGAGTCCCGGGCCCGCAGTTCTGGCACAGCAGCCCGAACGAGGTGCAGGGGGTCGCCCGCGCGCCCACCCGCACGGCGTGGCCCCGGATCCGCTCCAGCTCGCGGCGCACATTGACGGCTTTCAGGAGGTCCTGTTCAGGGCGGTAGCCCGAGGGCGGGAAGGCGTCGATAGCGGCCTCCACGCGGGCCCCTTGTGCGGCCCAAGCGCGGGACACCGCGCCGCAGCCCGCAAAGTACTCCTGCTTCGGCCAGAGGCTCGCGAGTCCTCGCGGCACGGACCACTCCAGACGGGAGGGCTCTCCTCTCGGCTGCCAGTCGCAACGGGGCGCCGCACTCGAGAGTGCCTCCTCGGCGGCCGGCGGCGCAGCGGCAGGCGCCTGCGCCACGGCGGGCGCGGGTCCCAGGCCCGGCGAGCCCGGCGCAGGCAGCCGGGGGCGAGCTGCTGCCGCCCTGGCTGCGGCGGCCGCCTCCTGCTGGCTCGCCACGATCCACTCTGGCGGGGGCCCCGCCTCAGGCAGCGGACGGAATCGAGACGGTGCGTCGGCTGGATTGAAGTGGGCCCCGATCCAGACTAGGGCCACATGGCAACGCGTGCTGAGCAAATACGGCATCATCGATCGCAGGATACCATTTAGCTTGAATGAAGAAGAGCGTCCTTTACCGAAGGCACCCGCACACACGCGGCTGTCGACCCCACACACAAAGGTCGTTCCTGCACTCGCGCAAGCACTCGAAGTCGAAGGCAATGTTCGCCTCTCCGAAGATCCTAGCCCTCCACCTTCTCTAGACACATGAGCTGACCCAGAGCGCCCCTCGGCCACATGACTGAACTCGGCCTCGAGGTCTCTAGCCCTAGACGCCGCGGCCACCCCAGAGCTGCCCAAGACGTTCCCGCGCAGGGCCTTCTGGATGTTGTCGAAGCCCCTCCGCCTGATCTCCCCCTTTAGGGCCCTCAACTCCTGTAGGTTGATGCGGCTGTGCTTGCTGAACCTACCACCCCGCTGGACCTTCCAATCAAAGCTCGCGAAAGCCTCATTCAAATCGTTGACGGGCCTGCGCATCCTAGTCGGCATGAGCACCTGGTCTATCTCGTTCCAGTCGAGCCTCACATGTTCCCCACGATGAGCCCCGATACGATACAGAGCCCTGGAGACCTCGGGGACCTTTGCAGAGCAGGAACCGCAGGAGTCCTCGGTCGCGTCGCTCGTCGAGACAATCGAATCCACAGGCCATCGAATATGGGCCACTGCCATCGAGAGGAGGGCGGCGGCTGCGAATAGCTCGTCACGTACGTCGGCGGGAATGGTGACAACCTCGCGCTCGTGACGCAAGCTCTCAAGCCAGTTGAAAGAACGATGGAAGCACCCAAACAACTCTCGGCGATGACTGAAGGGATGAACAAAATTAGTAAGAATCATCCGAAACATCTCTTTCGACACCTTTTTGCTCTCTAGCACGTCTAACGTCAGCGATGCAAGGATCCGCCTCTTGAACAGCGGACTGCCGACCTCGCCCGGGTCGTCGCGCACCTCCGTGCCCCAGGCGGCGAAGGTAGGCTGCTCGACTACGTCTTTCTCCACCGAGCGCGGCAGCCCTGCAGCCTCCCACGCCTGCTTCGCCCGCTCGTTGATCTCCACGTCTCGCAGCTTGCTCTTGTCCTCGCCCTCCGAGAACACCTGCACCGTCAAGTGGTCGTCGAGGTAGTTCCCCTCCCAGGTCTTCCCGATCGGCGCGGTCAGCTGAGCGTTCAACGACTCGGCTGGAGTCATGCAGCCCTGCTTCTTCAGAATGCTCACATTCGTCTCTTGGCAGACGTCACACGGGTTGGCGTCGCCCATGCCCCACACAGTCAACGCCAGGTAGTAGTTGGTGTTCGGCTCGGTCGCGCACGAGCCCAGCAAGCGGCCCTGCCACGGCCGCCCAACCACATGACGGGGCTCCGTTCCTGTCGGCCGCTTCACCTGGTAGAAGTAGGGCTTGAGGTCGTAGACGGTGCCCCTCACGTGCTCGGTCGGCCCCTTCAGCCTCAGCAACTTGAGCTGCTCGCCCGACGGCAACTGCAGCCAGGCCAACCGCTCCTCGGTCGCGCTCTGAGGGCGCCTGTCTTGGATCAGACGGCCCCACTGCTCACTGTGCTCCACTGCGAACCAACCAGACGCTAGCACGCATCCGTTCTTGTCGCGGGGCACCTCCGAGGCTGGGACCAGGATCGCCATCCCGCGGCCCAGCAAGTCCTGGGCCAAGATCAGCTCGTTGTCCTTCGAGATGCGGTGACATCTCCTCGGAAGGATGGCAGGCCAGTCGCCCGGAGCCAAGCAGCGGCCCAGGTAGCCGATGTACTCCTCGAGCTGCCAGCCCGCGAGGTGGTCGGCAGGATCGCAGCCCGGGCCAGGCGTCTTCAACTTCACGCGCTCGGGCTGCACCTCCAACGCCCGCGCCAGCGTGTCCGCCGACAGCTGCCCCACATGCATGTCCCACCCAGGGTCTCCTTCAGGGCGTAGACGCCTGTCATAAGAACTCCCAGGCAGGGCAATCAATTCAGAGGCCAACTTCTGCAGCCTCGCAAGCCCTCGCGTCGGCTGAACATCACGCCCAGCCGCGCGGGAGAACTCGAACAGGTCCTGATAAAGGTTATCCACAGCCACCCTCCGTGCAGGAGACCACTGGAGGTCGGGGTAGCTCGCCTTCGCCTTCGGGGGCCCGCACTCCCAGAAAGAGAACAGGGAAACCAGCACGTTCGTCAGGTGCATCGCCCGTTCGGCCAGCCGCTGCTGCTTCCGACCTTTGGGATCTGCACCTCTCGAGCCGCCCGGTTCGCGACGTCCACGAAAGGCAGCGGCGTGGGAAAAAAACGTTCAGGAGCTGTCGAGGCAGGCGACCCCTCGCCCGCGGTAGATTCGCACGAAACCGATGCATTGCGGTGCCAGCGCATGAAACGCCCCAGAGGCGTCCCCACGAGAAGTCGGCTGCTCCGCCAGAAACCCCACCTCCCTAGGCAAGAGGTCGCCTTCGGAGCCGAGGACGCTTTCACGCCTTCTCCCCCTTTGGCTTCTTCTTGCGCTTGGTCTTGTCGGGCTTCTCGCTGGTGCCTGCCGCCTGGTCCGCCGCCTGGCCGTGGTCGGAGTCGTCGGGGCTGGCCACGAGCGCGCCCCTCTGCCTGATCTTCGTCTCGAGCGCCTCGAGCTCCGTGATGTAGGCCGCCACGGCCTCCGTCTCGAACTCGTCGCCCGCGAACCCGCGCCTGCTGTAGGGATCGACCAAGCCCGACAGCGGCCACGCCGCCTTCCACGAGCCCTGGTTGATCGCCACCTGCTCTAGAGCCTTCATGATCTGCACCAGCTGGCCGTGAGCCTCGTCGAACTTGTCGTTGTCCGTGTACTCGAGGACCGCCACCAGCATGGCGAACGTCTTCTTGAGGTCGTACAGCTTCCCCCACGGGATGTGGCGCTTCCCGTAGTCGAGGCAGGTCCAAGCCATGCCGTGCTGCACGCCCAGCGCTCGCTTGACCTCCCTCCTGTAGGCCTTCACCACGCGCAGCGGGTGCTGCTGCACTCTCTTCCTCAGGCGGCGCATGCCACGCACCGCCTTGCCAGCCTTCCCGACGCTGCCCAAGCCGCCGATGCCGTCCTCCTCGCCCGAGGAGTTGCTCTTCTTGCCTGACTCGAGCCTCTCTATGACCTCTAGCATCCGCAACTGCAGCAAGCTCTGGAGGCCGTGCGCGTCCATGTTGCTGGCAGCGGCCGCCGCGCCGGACGGCTCCTGGGCCTGCCCAGCTCGACTGCCCGCCACCGACCGGAAGTCCTCCTCGTCGCTGCTGGAGAGCTGCCGCCGCCCGTCGCCGCGCGCAGCTGAGCGCCGCGGCGCCTGCGCCCGCTGGGGCGCTGCGCGCGCCTGGAGCGGCTCCCCGCCTGAGTCCGAGGAGCCGCTGCCCTCGCCGTCGGGCTCGGCCTGGTGGAGCCGCCGCGAAGCCCTCGCGATCAGACGATCCAGCCCCGGCAAGCCTGCACTGCCCGCGGAAGGCAGGCCGCCACCCGACTGCGCACTGGCGCCTCCGACAGGAGCCCTCGGCGCCGGCCGCCCAAGCCCTGCCTCCACGTCCTCGGTCGAGGCGTGGAGGCCGCCTCCGGCCGCGACCAGCGCCGCCTGCAGAGTCTCGGCCTCGAAGCGCCGGTCCCCGAAGTGCATGTAGTCGTCGTCCCATGCCTCCGGCGCTTCCTCTCGAAGGCGACGCGTCGCCACCACCACGAAGCCGACCTGCGAGCTCCCCCCGTCGACGTCGGCGACGCTCACCTCGTAGTCTGCGCCACCCACTGCTCGAGCAGCGAGCGCGGGCACAGCCAGAGAGACCCTCTGCTGCTGCTCGTGGACCTCGGCCACGAAGCCTCCGACGTTCACAGCCTGGCGTCGCCCCGCCTGTCCGCCAGCGATCCTGGCGAACACGCGATCGCCGGGCGCCCAGGACATAATACCTGCACCTGCGCTGCTGCTCGAGCCACAGCAGCGCTTGAGGCCACCCCCCTTCCCCTGCTGGTCTACTCCGTCTGCTGAGAGCTAAAGGGCATATATATATATGTATATAAATACACACTAGAACCATCGCGCGCGCTTCGGGCGGGCTCAAGTTCCACTTGATCACCGCGCGCTGGGCATTCAATCGGGCAGCGTGCTCGAGTCTTGGGACAGTAACGCGGACGCAAAGGTGAGCGAGAGAGAGAGAGAGAGAGAGAGAGAGAGAGAGAGAGAGAGAGAGGAGGGTGAGGAGGAGCGAGCGTAGAGAGAGAATAGAGGATGCAGAGTGAAAAGGAGATACGATGTGAACATGTAGAGGGTGGGCGGATGAAGGAGAGAGGAGGCGGGAATTACCGGGGACTGGAGAGAAGGGGGCAGGATGGAGAGATGCAGAAGGCAGTGAAGTGCGGGGGCAATGCGGACAGTGGGCATCAGAGGGCAGAGCCAGAACAGAGGAAACTACTGATGGCGCAGAAGGAGGGAATGACCGATGGTTAAGAAAAGGGGGGATACAAAACAGAGATGAAGGGGGAGGAAAAGGAGAAGGCCAGAGGGAGGAGGGAGGATGCAAAGGAAAGGGAACACGATATTCAGGCGGAGGGAGGTGGAAAGGACGAGGGAAGAGAAAGGAGGAAACTACGATGGTGAATGCAAAAAGGGTAAAGCAGGGTGCTGGCCTAGAGTGGAGGGTTTGTCTGGGTGCTTCCTCGGGCTGTCTGGAGGCAGCCGGGGGGCCAGGGGACTGGCGAGGGGACACGCCCAGAGGACTTGCCTGGGGACCTGTCCAAGATCCTCGTCGAATATCATGGAGCTGTTGTGCGATCATCTTGGGGTTTTGTTGGAACGTCGTTGAGGTTTCGTCTGCCATGTGAGGATTCCCTGGGCCCTCTTGGAAATGTGTTGGAGCTGTTGTGGAACAAACTACTTGAGGGCCTGATGTGTTGTTTGGGGGGGCGCGGGGGGCGTTTGGGGAGTCTATTTGGGGCCTCTTGGAGGCCTCTTGGAAACATCTAGGATTTTTGTGGAGCGCCTCGGGAGCTTGCAGGGGGCGTCTCGGGGCCTACTAGGGGCCTCCAGGGGGCGATCTGGAGGCTTCCGCAACCTATCGGAGGAAGGCGAGAAGTCAGCATTCATAGATTTCCCTTGGGTTGTTGAAGGTTTCTACGGTGTTGGCAAAGTTATGGAGGGTCTCCTGGGGCCCTCTGGGGCTGTCTGGGGCGTCTGTGTAGGCGATGTGATGCTCTTTTGGACCGTCCGAGATCCCTGGAAACCGTCAAGGGGGTGGCTCTGGGTCGTCGTGGGCCAATTGGACGGTTGTTTGATGGGTCTCTGGGGCGACGTCGGGCTTCCCAAAAGCGGGCCTGGCCCCCAGGACCCACATTTGCGGTCGGGGTAGCGCGTCATGCCTTCAAGACAGATGGGCTCCAGCGCGCAATTTTACGAAAGGGAGTGGTTCCAGCAGGCCACGGCGCGGGTTCCAGCACCCATTTCTCACGAGGAACAGTTGTTCAGATAGTGGTTCCAGCAGCGCACATCGTGGGTTCCAGCACACACGGCGCGGGCTCCAGCAGTGCATATCACTGAGAGCGAGCTTTCCAGCAGCCTACAGCATGGCTGGCGGGACATCGAAAAACGGCCGTTGTTTCAGACGTCGCGTAAAACGATCCATGCCCCCACCACCATTAACACATGCCCCACTCGGTCAGACTTTTCACAACCAAATTATTCACCGAACTGGCTAGTCAGGTGAATATTGTTGGTAATGCACTTTGAGAACGCACATGTACGCCGGAACGCGACGCCTCCGCGACACGCTGCTGAGCTTAGACAAGGCCGCGCGGCACGCCATCGCGCGGGCGTTCGCGCCGCCCGGCGACCACCTGCCCAAGTAGACGCGCTCGCTCTTCGGAGCCCCTATCGCCGCCACGAGCGAAGGGGTCGTCGCCCGCCCCAAGCGCTGCTCCCAGAAGATCGCGACATCCTCGGAGACTAGAAGCTCGACTTCCTCGCCCGTGGACGCCGGTGGCATCGGCATCCCCCGGGACATCCCCTGCCCAACTGCCGCTGCCTCTGCGCGCCCGGCGGGCTTGCGGACCCCCCCCGCCCCGCGTCGTCACACCGCGGCAGAAAGTCGAAGCCGCAAGTCGAAGCCCATCTGAAGCCATGCCGGGTTCAGCATGCACAAATGGCAGCGCTGGCATATTGCGCCCTGCTCCAGTCTTCGCGCGCCACAGCGCGGCCGTCGGCCAGCCCCCCGCCCGCGACGACGAGGCGCCGCGGCGGGGGCCAGCTGCGATCGTCGCAGCGCAGCACTGCCCACACCACGACGAGGCGAAGCCACGCCAACCCGCGCAGGCCCCGCGAGAGGTCCTCGTCCATGCCCAGCCGCTACATGGCCACGATGAACGCGCCGTGGAGCCGCGCCGCCCTCGTTGTCGGGCCCATGCCCGCGCCGAGAAGCATCGCCACGTTCGCGACGACTTGCTGGCCCCAGGTAGACCAGATTATCTGTTGTCCGGGCCACGCCTGCCACGCGCTCCGCCCGCAGCACGGCGCGCAGGGCCCGGTAGGGCACCGTCGGCCCACACGGCCCAGCAACCTTAGCACGCACGTAATCGACAAAATACACCATCGACAAGGGCCACGGGACCCTGCGCGCGCGTAAGAACAATTTGCGCGTCGTCCACATGGCCAGCGCACACGGCCTCGCCGCGTCGAGGCGCGCGCGGCCCACGACGCCGCCCCTCGCCAGCTCCGGGTCCACTCGGGAACGCGAGATCTCAAGCGAGGGCGATCCCATCTCCTCGAGCAGCGCGACCAGGCGGGGCCTCCACCGAGCTCAGTCCTGCACCTGCAGTCCGCGACGCCTCTCGTCAGCAGCCGCGCGACACTTCCGGGCGAAGCGTGTTCCCGCCATTGCGCGGGCCCCCACCGGCGGCGCGGCCTCGGGCGCACCTCGGCTGGCAGCCATCCTGAAGTACGTTGCGGCGCCCTGCAACATCCCTCGCCCAGGGCGGCCATGGAACGCCCTCAGCCGCCTCTGCACCGGCCCCACGGCCACTGCCTGGCCCACGAACTCCCCCACAGGCTGCCGCGCCCCCTCCACGCTGACGTCCGCGGCCCCCACCGCCTGCTCGAGCGCCGCCTACAATTCGGCCTCGTCCGCCCGCAGCGTAAGACGCGGGCCGAGGAGGTAGCACTCATGCAGCACCTCGCTGACCCGCCGCCGCGCGGCGTCGAA